ATAAATATCTGTACATATTACTGCATATAAATTATAGCTCACTAAAAAATATATATATAGAAAAGGATCTTTGGTTCAGCATGCAGCTCAGTATCATTAATCATGTTGGCCTATCCTTAAGTAAAAGTCCCAAAGAGGCTATCATTTATATACATCATAAACAAATGATTAGAGTTGGCTGTGAAACATCAAGACTGCAAAAGTAGCAATGAAAGGTCTTTAATTAATCTATGATCTTTTGTTCTGTTCACTCCATGTTTTTGGTAGTCAGCATCTGGAGCCATAAGGCCATCTGGAAGTGTTGTAAATGCAGCATTAGCGGTAGTAAGTAGTGATGTGTGTTTACAATATAAGTTGAGGCTCCAAAGCCAACAGCTGCCGGACATTTGAGAAAAGTCCAATTCCACAGAACTGGAAGGTCTTTTACTCAGAGGCAAGAAGTTGACAATGTAGAGCTGATGTTGGCTTATTCTGGCGTGGTGGTGAAGATTGTTTTATGGACTGAAAATGTGGTAGACATCGCATAACCCCAAGGAGGATTTTGCAGTAGGAACATCACTAGGATACTTAGGAGAAAAGCTTGTTGAATGTAGTGCTTCTTGACATGCTTATGTGTGTCCATCCTTTAACGTTTCCATCAGCAAATCTTATCAAAATGTCACATCACAACCAGAATCCCAGAAAGTAATCTTCATGAAGTATGGGAAAATTCCCCGGGCCACAGAAAGTCCAGCAGACGTTGTGACCAATTCTCCCACCCCCTACCCCTACAAACCAGTGCAGTGCTGGGGGCACGGTGCATGCTCAGTAAATCGTTGTGGAAATGAATGAATGGATGCATGCATGCATCCAAGCTGGAATCATTCATTCAACAGCAAATTATCTACTCTATGCTCATCATTAAGTCTTGCAGGGATTGTACAAGAAACACAGGACGTGTGAACTGGAAACCCTTCACTTCTACGTAGGAACACCGGCAGACATGTGAAACCACCAAGGAAAACAGGAGACTCTTTTACTAGCAGCCTCTCCATAGGATTCCCTGCCTCTCTCATTTCCCAGGAAGATAACATTTCATTTGGTAATAACCAAGTCCTCAGAGAGGTTCTTATCACCCCCTTTAAAAGATCTTTCTCCCTGTTTTCTTCCATTCCTCAGAGAGCATTAAAAAAAAAATAGGCCCTTATTAATAGCTCTATTGTCCCAGAATTAAAACAGACCCACCATTCCCATGAACCATCTGTTCTGTTTGCTTAGATGTTGTGGGTGCTTAGAGAAGGGACAAGGAGTAGGGAGGTGGGGCCATAAGTCATTTGATCTTTTGACCAAGAAGGGTGGTATATGGGGAGGTTGTGATCACTGCTTGGGACTGGTGAGTTCCTATCTTGCCAGACATAAAGTATCAGGGAGAGAGACATTTTCCAAAACAGCCTTTGCTTGTTCTGGTACCAAAAAAATAGAAAGCCCAAGAAAACACTTATAAAGAAAAGGAAATAGGCTTAGAGAAAACACCCCAGTTCCCAGACTTTATTTGGCAGAGAAAAAAAATACAGTGAAGCCAAGGAACCTTTTCCACACCCCCAATATGCCTTTTTTTAACCCTCTTTTTTTAAGCTTCGGGCTTAACACGAGATTCCAATTTTAGTGTTGCCGAAATGTCCTGAACTTTGCAAAGATAACGCCACATTTTCTTTTCTTTTTCACATTTACTTTTAATGCCCAATCTCTTCTCACCTAATTGTCAGAAATGAGCCCCCTCCTCTTTAGTGCCCCCAGCTCTTCTGAAGTGTTCCATGTGCCACCTCTGTGTCCTCCGGAACAAACCCCCATTCCCCTGTCCCGACCTTGGTCCCATACCCCGGCCTCACCCTCTTGCCACCTTGCCACTGTCCTTCCCTCTTGAAGCTGCTGACCAACAGGGCAGTGCTGCCCTCTGATAATGTCATCTTTATCCCTCCTTCTAATGCACAGATATATACCCTTTCTTATCACCAAATGACAGAGTTAAAATTAAACTATGCTTTTTGATAGGAGTTATTGAAATCCTAGGGGCAATATAAAGGGGTACAACACAGAGAATGGTTTCTAACCACCACATGGGCACAGATCTAGGCTCAATTATCAAGTCAGCGTCCGCCTGGCCTCCCTCCACATGTCCACGTGAAGCTCATCCCTGCCCCCAAGACTGACTTCTTCCTAGGATGATTAACTTCTTCAGTAAATATTTATTGACTGTCTGTTCTGTTCCAAGCACTGTAGTAAGCACAGAAGACATAGTGGGGACAAAAACAGACAAGGCCCAGCCCTCATGGAGTTTAGAGTCTCGAACTGGTGAAGGAGATAGCTAAACAAATCAATACATAACCAAATGTTATTGGTTACAAAATTGTTGGGTGCCATGAGAAATCCTAATTGAGGGAGTTGGTCTAAATAGGGGAAGTCAGGTAAGGCTACTTTGAGCAGTTGACATTCAGGTTGGGACTGAAGGGTGGGTAAGAATCAGCCCAGTGAAGGGCTGGGCAATGGTAGCCCCAGTCCACAGGCAGCAGTGATTGCAGGTGTGAAAGGCTTGCTTGGGAAGACCAGGGGAGCTCAAGCGAGGAGAGTGAGGGCAGAGCGGTACAGATGAGGCCGGACAGGGAGGCAGAGGAGCCAACCCAGGTAGGCGCTGGAAGGCTTGGCAAGTTTTTCGCATTTATACCAAGTGTAACCCAACTGCTATTGAAGGGTTTGGAGCAGGGGAGTGAATGATTCGGCATGTTTTAACCTATCTTTTAAGAACATTGTAACAGCCATGTGGAGAATGAATGGAAGAAGGGCAAGAACACAGTCAAGGGGCGCCTGGGTGGCTCAGTTGGTTAAGCGACTGCCTTCGGCTCAGGTCATGATCCTGGAGTCCCGGGATCGAGTCCCGCATCGGGCTCCCTGCTCAGCGGGGAGTCTGCTTCTCCCTCTGACCCTCTTCCCTCTCGTGCTCTCTATCTCTCATTCTCTCTCTCTCTCAAATAAATAAAATCTTTAAAAAAAAAAAAGAACACAGTCAAAAGATAGCAAGTGCCTGTCTTAATGGTCTAAGCGAGAGAAGATGATGGCTCTGACCATGGCACTGGCAGAAGAGGTAGAGAAGTAGTCAGCTTTACGAATGTCTAGAATAGAACTGATGGACTCGATGACAGATTATGTAGGGGGAGCAGAAGGAGAGAGGAAAGTGAAGGCAGAGGGGCCAGGAAGGCTTCCGGTTTCTGACTTGGGCAGCTGGGCACGTGGTCTGATATCTAGGCCCTGGAAAGAAAAGCAGACAATAGTCAGAACATTTCCCAAAGTCTGAGTTACTTGGTCTTAAATATTCCACTTGAGAAGCGTCAGCAACCCAGGCCAGGGACAGGCTCCGGCGAACCCCTGTTTGGTTTGTCTTTTAAAACTTCCAACATCTTGGCAATCCAGCCTCATCACTGCATCAGTTTTAACGGAAAGTTAATTTTGCACTAGACTTCTTCCCCAAGCAATTGCCGGGATAAGATAATAATGAATTTTGTTCATTCATTCAAGGAGAAACTGTTTAACATAGTGATGGAGAACAGGGCCTCTGGGTTTCAAATTCAACCTCTGCCACTTAGTAGTCGAGGGACTTTGGGCAAGTTCCTTAGCCACTCTGTGACTCAGTTTCCTTATCTGTGAAACGGACATAACAGTATATCTACCTCAAAGAGCTTTCTTAAGATATAAGTGAATTAATTATAGGTGGTATATTTCTAACAGGGGTTGGCACGTAGTGACTACTCAGTCAGTGTTAGAAATTACCATTGCTCCTCATTAATCGAGTGTTACTGAAACCTCCCACTTCTCCAGCACTGATCTAAAGGAGAATGCTGGGCAGAGTAGAGAGCCATTTTTGAGTCAGACCGATTTGATTTCAAGTCTGCTCTCCTGCTTAACGTCTTTGAACCACATTTTCTCACCTGTTGTAGGAGAGCAATAATGCCCACCTTGAGCAGTTATTGAGAACATAAAATCAGAAATCCTTGAGCAGGGCCTTGTACATAGCGGAAGCTCAGTAAATGGGAGGTTCTTTCCTTACTCAAAAGGAGCTTGCCTTCCTAATTTACATAGTGCAACTCCGCCTCTGTCACTAAAGAGGCCCCGGTGAGAGATAATTACAAACCCTCTTGTAGGCTTACAGATTAGGAATAAGGTTAATGTTTCTTCAGAAATTAACTTTTTTTGCCCTTTGGGCATGGTATGGAGCTATTTAAAAGACAGAAACGTGGATGTGGACATCTTACATCCCAGAGAGAATGGTCTACAAAGATTCTCTTCAGTCCCCCAGACCATCCACATTTCCCATCACCAGTTGGACCGTTTCCCAGTGCCATAACCCACTTCCTCTTACTGCCCCCCCCACCACCACCACCCTGAGCAACCAGAGTAAGAAAACATGGACACCAGCCCACAGAAAACACTCTCGGTTGTCCCGGAAAGGGCAGATTGCCTGAGCTTTTGTTTTCAAAGCTGACTACACGGTTTCCTTTGACACATCCGTGCAGGCGGCAGAGTTTGCTCCCAACACCTGCCATCCCACCGTCGCTCCTTGTGGTGGCCTTGCCCTGGGTTCTTGGTACTCACCTCTTTCTGGCTCACGTGAGCTGTTTGCATCTTGATATAAAGTTGCCTGAGTTGTCCTGTCATCCCCTCTGGAGCGGTTGCATTTTAGGACTCATTTCCAATGTAGAATGAAAACTTTGTCCTGTTAAGGGGCAGAAAGCTCTTGTGAGCACGGTGGATATTCCTGCAAAAGGATCCCTTCATCTGAGATTTCACTCATCCTCCCTTATGGCTAACCCTGAATGGATAATGTGCTACAAAGACTTTCCCTCTAATAGGCTTTTGGGGGACGTGGGGGTACTATCGCAGGATTCACAAAAAAAGATTAATGCATATCTCTCTCCACAGCAAAGTGTAAAATGCTCTAATAAGACTAACAGGGTGTCTTTGGATTTCAGGGAACAGATCCGTCAGGGCCTAGAAGAACTCCAGAAGGTCCTGCCAGGAGGAGACACTTACATGCATGAAGGATTTGAAAGGGTAATTTTAAAATGGTTTTCAACTCTAAATTTAAAGTGTGATAGGGAAACATCAACATAAGGGTGGCCAATGAGATAAGACACATGTAACTGAACAACCTCCAAGAGCAAGGAAGTAAAAACAATTTTCCCACAAGCTTGCACACTGATAACTCTATCCCAAAGAAGTGAATTTCCTCGCTCCCTCCCTGACACCGACAAAGGGCTTGTTAGCTAATGCTTGGCTGACACTCATGAATCATGCCACATGCACGTCCCCAACATTTCCAAGGTAAACTTTTCTATATGGTGCGTGAGTGGTTGAGACAGAACGTCAGTGACTTCAGTCATAAGGAAAACAAGTCCCAGTCTGTGAGAAGAAAGACATGGATCCATGTTCACAAGTACATTAGTTAAATGTCAAGGTAACTTTAGATGAACGCCAACCACTGGTATTTGAGCAAAGCCTGGGTGGGTTACATAAAGAATCAAGACTGAACTGGCCTACGTAGCCAGCCCCAGAACCCACTGTCCACTATGGTATTTGGAATAGCACACGGTGGCTCTAGGTCTAATGTCTCTTCCGTGTGTTTTTCAGGCCAGCGAGCAGATTTATTATGAAAACAGTCAAGGTAAGACTATAACATGAATTATCAAACTTTTTTTTTCTGTGTCAGCCTGAAAAAGGGCTTCAGTATCTTCACTTTACAAAAGATAAATGTGATGTCCATCATCCTCCACACCTCATCACAAAGAAGACAAGATGACATGTACCAGGTCAAATTCTACTGTCCTGTTGATGCCAAAAAAAAGTTACATAAAAGTAATGAGGAGCCCATTATGGGCCACAGTCTATAATGTCCGTGAACAGCTTTGCATGCTGAATTCATTAAATTAATAAGTACTTGGATAGGTTAGTAAAGTCTTGGATTTTTATGTCAAATTTAATCTTTTTTGTCCTTCCCCAAGCTCCAAGCCACTTCATTACTGTGATTGGGTATGATATTAAGGTGAAGATACCAGTGTGGTTTAAAGTTGGCTTCATTTAAATGAAAAAAAAAAAATGTATGCAATGTACTTAAAGTATAGAAAATATACTTCTTATTATGATTTTAGCTGTTGTTACTATTACTACAGTGTCTTTCATGGATAGCCTTTCTTTATCTGAGGCAAATCTTTTGAAAGAGATTCAGTATCACAGTGGGGATTTTTCTCCCAGGCCTGTAGAGGTGTCTGCTTCCTATTTCCCTCTAAACTGCGACAAATAGAACAGACCCAGTATCAACACTAAGGCTTGTTAATATGAACCAACCCTCAGCCATGTTAGAAGTCTAAAAATCACTGAAAGAATTCTAGTAGGTTTTCCCAGTTGGTATAATAACTTCCACTCAGCTTATAAATCACGACTATTTCTCCTTGCCCGGTTCTTCAAGGGGTGAGGGGTATGGTCCACTGCAGCCTGTGAGGACTCCTGAACAGCCCATGTGGTAGAGTCTCCCCCCAGGCCTTAACCTCAGTCACATGGACTGTTAATAGAAAATCAAGGAAGTTTGATTCACTGGAGCTACTCCCAGCTATCAGTCCAGTGACCATTCCAGCAGGCTTGGCCATTTCTGGAGAGAAGACTGAGAAACCCACAAGCAAAACTCCCCCCCGCCCCGCCCCACCCCACAGTCGGTCCCCACAGATGCATTCTTCTTCGCGCTGGAGGTGCTTCTAGTCCCGAAAGAAAAGCTTCTGGTTCTCATAAGATTGACCTCGGGTAGTTGAGCTTATGAGACATCAACCCCCAGGACTGAGAGGGGGTTTCCCTGAGTGCGGCAAGATGGATTGAGTGGGTCTGTGTTGTGTTGAGCAGGATACAGGACGGCCAGCGTCATCATTGCTTTGACCGATGGGGAACTCCATGAAGATCTCTTTTTCTATTCAGAGAGGGAGGTAAGCGATGGCCTGGCCTATATCTAACACAGACATGGAAACAGGGCTCCTTCCTCCTCAGAAACAGGCTGCACTCTTTCTACTCAGACAACAAGATAGGTGTTCTTTGTAAAACCCCCCAGGGTATAAAATAGTGTCTCATATGTAAAAAAAATAATAATAATAACAATTCATTTTTTAAAAGTGAACTCTCATGTCTTACACATGGTAGATGTTTTTCCCCCTTTCAAAATATTTGCCTGTTACTCTGGGTTTTGAGGGATAAAAGTTGCTTACCATGACTTGATTGAAAGCACTATATTTATCTAGCAGTTTTGAAATAACTATATATCACTTTCAAACAAAAACGGTGCCGTTTTTCCTCCATTTCTGCTAAAAACAGGAGGAGGGGAAAGAATCACTTGAAATATGTAAGAACCAGTCTGGTCAGAAGGTATTAATCATTGAGATTCTCACTCCGAGAATCAAAGTTGAATATTAATTGGTAGCAAAGTAAATTGCAATTGCTCCTACAGTATTTCTCCTTCCTTTTCTTTATGTTCTTGAAAAGTATTCCTTAAAGCAAGTGAGAGAATTCTCTCTAAACGAAGCTTCCAGTTTGTATAAAGAGTTTCAGAAAAAGAGGTTTATTTGGGAGTTGAATAATAATGTTTATATTTAGGAAATCCTTTCCTTTCCAGTCTGAGATTTGAGCCACATGTATAATTGGCCCAAGAAACCAGTTCACCATTACTGACAAAGTGACAAAGCCTCATTCGGGCCAAGTTAGAGAGAAACACAGTAAGGAAAAAGACAGGCAGTGAGGAAGGAAATGCTGGCTTCTGGGGGAGGAGTTAATCAGAGCCTGACACTTACCTGAAGCTCTTGACTATTATTTGATTTAAATTCAGCTCCCTTGGCAAACAATCATTCGTTCGTTCATTCATTCATTCATTCAGTGTTAACTGAGTGCGCCGCATGTGCTGGGCACTTTGCCTGATACTAGGGAAACAGGTGAAGAAGGTACGTTTGCTGCCCTCACGGTGCTTACCACGTAAGGATGTAATGCTGCTTTTTGAAGCCTCTGCTGGCTAAGGGCATGAGGAAATGATGTAGGTAAACACACTACTTCTCCCCTACCCATAACTAGTACAAAAGATCATTTGCACTGGGGAAGCACACAAGTAAATGTGACAGACCCTGCCTGAGCATTTGGAAAATAATATACTCCCATATTCTAAAGTTGAAACTAATGATACAATGGGAATGCAGAAGGGCTTATTTTGGGTGCTACACAACAGTCAAATAAAGTAAAAACCCTAATAAGGAAATAACTGAATATGAAATAAATGATGGATGTCAGAGGCTTAAAATACGGGTTAGTAGAAAAGAATTTGAGGTATGGCGCATACAAACTTGGAAAAATATTTGGAGTGCCAGCGCCAAGAGAAGGAGGCTTTCTGAAAAAGAAAGATAAAGCTCAAGATAACATAAAGAAATGAATTTTTCCATTTTTGAGAATCCTATATAAAGCCAAATTAGAGGGAAAGAGTCAAAGAAGTTACTACAGATAAGGCTAGAGATAGACTGTGTCTAAAAGTTAGTTTTATCCTTAAAGCAGCAAAGCATATTTTTAAAATGAAGGAAAAAAAGATGTCTGTTTCTTCTAAAATTCAGTGTTTCAGAATGTTTCAATCACAAGTGGGTTTGAATACTAAAGCGAGGGGTGGAGGAGGAACACAATTCAAATCAATATGCATACACTGAACACCTACTATGTGTTTACTATCAATTATTTATTAAGCACCTACTGTATATTCCAATGATTTCCAAATTTTATTTTCTATTCTGAAACACAGAAGAACCTGGAAATAAGATATCAGAGCCTTTAATAAATCAAATATTAAAATCAAGCCAAAACCTGGATGTTATTCATTATGTTGCCCTCTCGATACTTAACTGTAGAGAAGGTCATGGGTTCCCTTACTCGAATATAGACCATAATTCCCATACCATTAAACCAGTGTACTCTGTGGGAATGAAAAGGGCCTTATTCGCAAAGGGTGCTGACATTTATAAGCATCTGCGTTGCTCTAGGCCTTGTGTGAGGAGCTCTGAATATGTTATCTCACTGAATCCCCAAACACTTTACAGAGCAAAGCCAAAACTAGGTATATCGGGTTCCAAAGGCCACATCCTTTCTATTATACCATTATGCTATTACAAAGGAAGAAAAGTATGTCAATAAAAATTCTTCAAAGGAATGGAATAATCATTTCCCCAGAATATTTTTTTAAGATTTTATTTATTTACTTTTATTTTAGAGAGAGAGCAAGCAGGGGGAGGAGCTGGGGGGAGAGAGAGGGAGGGGAAAGAATCCCAAACTGACTCTGCACTGAGCATGGAGCCCAATGCAGGGCTCGATCTCAGGACCCTGAGATCATGACCTGAGCCGAAATCAAGAGCTAGATGCTGAACCGACTGAGCCACCCAGGAGCCCCCCCACCAAGAATATTTAATAGGCTTATCCTAGCCTGCTGTTCCCTTTTCCTCCCCTCATCTTTCAAATCCCTTCATAAGACTCTACTTCCAACGCTCTTTCTCAGCACGTCCCATTAGGCTAATCACTCCTCTCATGTCCCTCATACATCACGGTAGAATGTGCTGTTTACTAGAGGGTGAACTCCTTGGGAACAGGGATTGCCCTCTCCATTGTGGTACCTGGCACATAGTAGGTGCTCAATAAATACCTGATTGTGGAAGTTAGTCTGGTTAATCCAAAAGGAGTATATTTGCCACTTCTCTGTCTAATGGCTTTTCTCCATTGACCCAGGCTAACAGATCCCGAGATCTTGGTGCCATTGTTTACTGTGTTGGTGTGAAGGATTTCAATGAAACACAGGTATGGATTTCCTCAGGTCTGGGAGCTTGTGAATAGAGAACATGTGTATTCAGTGCAGCAGCACAAAACACCCCTTAAATAGGTTATTTTTCCATAAACGTTGAGCAAGCAAGAATTATTGGATGTGTAAGGGACGTGAAGCCAAGCCAGTGCACTTGGGGGCCGTGAACGCAGACTATCCAGGCAGTATCTTCTTTGGTTGACTTTCCTGGCAGATGTTAAATTGCCAAGGTGTCGAAACAGATCTGAATAACATTAGAAAACTTGTTGGTTTTTTTTTTTTTCATTTAGTTTAGTGAATCTAATTTTGCTTAAATGTCAAACATCCCTCTTCTCCCATTAGAAATTCAGTGCATTTTCAATACAAAAAAATATACAGTTGGTCCTTGAACACTGCAGGGATAGGGATATCAGCTCCCCTACACAGTCAAAAATCCATTGACAGCTTTTGACTCCCCCAAAACGGAACTACTAACAGCCTACTGTTGACTGGAAATAACATAAACAGTTGATTAACACATATTTTGTATGTTATATGCATTATATACTCTATTCTTATAATGAAGTAAGCCAGACAAAAGAAAATGTTACTAAGAAAATCACAAGGAAGAGAAAAGACATTTACAGTATTTTACTGTATTTGTTGAAAAACATCCGCGTGTAGGTAGACCTGCTCAAGTCAAACCCATGTTGTTCAAGGGTCAGTCATAATTGGCAAGTGGGCAAAAAGAATATACAAGTATAGATATGCAAATTGTGACATTTTGCTAACAACCTACATAAATGTTCCTCAATGTAGGTCATCATTTCTTTTTGTTTTAATGACATGGGACAATGCTTGTGATATGTTATTAGGTGAATGAAATAGGGTTACAAAACAGTGGGGATAGTCTGAGTCCACTTTTAAAATAAATGTGTATATTTGGGGAGGGAAAGTATGAAAGACTACATAGTATATCAAATTAATAATAGAAAAATGGTAGGTGGAAGATAGATAAATGAGTAACTTTTTTTCTTTTTAACACTCCTGGGTTTTCTGAAACTTCCCATTGGTTATGTGTTACTTTTGCAATCGGGGAAGCTCATGGCACTGACCATGACAGGGGCAGTCACAGAACTATAGATTTGGAGTAGAAAAGTCCACAGATCAGATTCTTCTTTCTCCTGTCCTCTGTTCCATGAAACAAGAGAGCCAAACCAATTGCAAGGGTCCTCTCCTCAATGAGTAATTTGGGCAAAACGGAAGGGGTTCCATTCATTGGCCTCGCACAACACCAAAACTTAAATTTATTTTTAAAGTTGCTCTGAAAGGAAACCTGAGTCTGTTCGATTCAAATACAGTTGCCAACAGAAATTTGAGTGAATGGGAGAAAAATGAGCCAATGGCCTGCCCCCAAATCCATAAATACATCCACCCAGGCCAAATGTTCATCTAGCTGAGCAATCTTACCTCTGCTCCCAAGGGGAAAAGTATTAAAACAAATGTAAAAGCTGGACCTGACCCTCTAGGCCTGCTCCAGAAAGGCCGCTGGTAAGCTCATTATTACTGAGGGCTTTTCGGTGAGGCCCAAGGCCTCAGGTTCCTCTGGGTTCTAAAAGTCGACGGAGCCCCCTGGACTCAGTTCTCTGCAGCCAAGCCTGACACATCTCCATGTGCGTTTGTGTGTTTGCTGTGTTCTCAGCTGGCCCGGATTGCAGACAGCAAGGACCACGTGTTTCCCGTGAATGACGGCTTTCAGGCTCTGCAAGGCATCATCCACTCAGTGAGTAGAGCCCTTCCTCTAAAACTGGACCTTGGGCACTCTCTGCCCCTGATCCACTAAAAATTGCCCAGTCCCCTCCCTCGAAGGCTGGTGTTCTCTGCTTGAGACAACATTCCTTTGCCTATCTTTGTTGTCTATCATGTCCCACTTCTCCCTCCTGACTTCCACGCATGTTTCTTTTTTCGTTCTCCTGTACCAGTTGACCCTACAAGGTAAATTAAAAATTGAAGGGAATGGGCACCTGGGTGGCTCAGTCATTAAGCGTCTGCCTTCAGCTCAGGTCATGATCCCAGGGTCCTGGGGTCGAGCCCCACATCGGGCTCCCTGCTCGGCGGGAAGCCTGCTTCTCCCTCTCCCACTCCCCCTGCTTGTGTTCCCTCTCTCGCTGTGTCTCTCTCTGTCAAATAAATAAATAAAATCTTAAAAAAAAAAAATTGACGGGAACTCTGGTCTGGCAACAAGCCAAACTTCAGATAGTTCCAGTTCTCATACTGGAAACATTGGTTGATGGTGTGCACCTGACCTCAGCTTTTCCAACCATGACTGAATGCAAGCTGCCTTCTAGAGCATTGGCAGGCTCAATCTGTATCTCTTGACCATCAGAGGTACTTTCGACCAGTGGTTCTTTACCTTGGCTGAGGTCATCTGGAGCAGGATTTTTAAGATCTTCCCAGGGGACTTTACTGGAACCACAATTGTAGACCTATGGTCCCCAAATATGAGGGATTCACTCTTCTTCAGGGTTTTCAATCACTATCCCTTCTTTCCACCCCAACCTGGGTTGGATGGAACAATCCCCCCCACACAAATGGGTTTTTTTAGCCCCCCATTTTCTGTCAGTGAACAGGATCGGCCTCTCTTTTCCACCCTCCATACATAGGCCAGGCCCTTGGTCCAGCCGGAATATTGGATGATGCTGGTCTTTATTTATTTATTTATTTTATTATTTTTTTTTTATATACTGATCTTTAAAGCCCCAGCCAGAAGGCCAGTGTGTGGGCCACACTGTGATGAAGTCCAGAAGCACTGTCTCCTCTACCTTTAGGTTTTGTGATTGGGCAGATGGCCAGCAGTTTCTCCAGCAGAAGCTCACCAGGCTCCAGGGTCCAGGATGCAGATTCAGAGCTCAGAGGGTCACTATCCCCTTCAGATATCAAGGGGGTCTTAATCCAGGTGTTACCAGCCAGAACCAGGATCTACCCAGCTCCCCCCGACTGACCTAGGAAAACTCCAATGTACTTTCATGCCCACTCTCACTCCCTCCAAGGTTCGCTAAGAACTCCTGTGGGGTGAGAAGAACTTTGGAGCTGGTCATCCCAGAATTGAAATGCTGGCCCAGCGACTTACCATTTATAGATCCTTGGATGAGTTATCTTACATGTTTCCTTATTTGTAAAAGGGGATTGATAGTAAGACTTACATCACCTGCCTGTTTGAGGATTATAAGAGATAACACTGTGAAATTACTTAATATTTTTCCAGGCACATAATAGGTACTCAAGACATATGAATTACCTCCTTCTTCACTTTCCTTCCTCATCATATAATGGACATTAGGGTCAGTTTCCCCCAATCCTCTAGATTTTCTTGAATATACTTAAAAACCACCTGGGAACCTTGCTTAAAATACCAGTTCCCAAGTCCTATCCCCGGAGATTCTATTGCAGACAGTATGAGATGGTGCCCAGAAATCTGTGTCTTTTAAATCTGTTGGATTTTTTTTTAAACAAATGCCCCAGGGGCACTTTCAGAACATTGATATATGTAACCTTAAGTTTTCAGAATTGTGAAAAATAATCTCACCTCAGGTTAGGAACTCCTACCTTAAATATGTACAGATGATGGTCATCTTATTCAAGAGGTATTTGTTGATAAGGAACAGAAACCAACTCAACCTACTTTCACCAGAGAGTGGAAATTATTGAGAGATAGAGAATTATCAGTGCCAATATTAGATCCCCAGGTGAGGGACCCCTGCTCCAAATAATTTCTGGGATCAGTGTGGCATACTTGACAACATAGGCAACAAGGACTGCAATAAACATATAAAACAATACCCAAATGGTACAAAACATGATTTGGGGCTGATCATGAAGCTCAGAGGTGGATTATTGTGGGCTGGAGCCTTCATGAGAAAGTGGGACAGACCTAAATCTATGAAAGACCCAGGAGGAATGATGGGTAGCACCAGGGAAGAGATGACATGACCCCAGCCCAAAAGCTGGAAAAGGGAAAAGTATAATAATGCCTATCTGTCTGGGGGGAGAGTTTGGTAAAGGATCAGGAGTAATAAGAAACAAACCTAGACATTGGTTTGGAACCAGACTGATAAGAGCCTTGAAGGGGTTTTGATTCCAACTTCGTGGGTGTAATCACTGAAACATTTGGAACATCTAACAAGTGATATTTAAGAAGAGAATCTGATGGTGGTATCTGTATATAGGGGGAAAAATGGGGGGATCTAGAGGCAGGAGCCTACTGCAGCATGTGTGCACAGTCTTGCTTTCAGATAGCTGGATTCTGAACAGGCAGGGACAGCTCTTACCTGTTCAAAGGTTCTTAGGAGCCATGTGCCCACATCACTCAAGAGGCAGTTCCTACCCAAATAATCAGAATCATTTTATCTGCATAAACTGGTGTTGTCCTTGACTATTTCTACCTTAGCAACTCACCCAAGCTCGACGTGAGCCCCCCAGATGTTTGGAAAGCTCTTCCCACCCCCAAATGGAAATAACTCTAAAGATGTTTCAGGAATTTCAGCACAATGGTCTCCCCAAAACTGGGAGAAAAATAATAATTTGAGACTCCAGTCTCCAAACTTGAGCTGAATGATAACGTTCTTATGAGCTTTTTATCTGGGAGTTAACGCTCATGGTTGAGATCCTTTCAACACTTGAAACCCATGTTTATGGCAGTTGTTAATTCCTTTACTTGGACAGAGAAACAGGGACAAGCACGGTGGGGCTCATCTTTCTCAAGACAGACAGAAATAGGGCGCCTGGGTGGCTCAGTTGGTTAAGCGACTGCCTTCGGCTCAGGTCATGATCCTGGAGTCCCGGGATCGAGTCCCACATCAGGCTCCCTGCTCAGCAGGGAGTCTGCTTCTCCCTCTGACCCTCTTCCCTCTCATGCTCTCTGTCTCTCATTCTCTCTCTCTCAAATAAATACACAAAATCTTTAAAAAAAAAAAAAAAGACAGAAATAATTATGGCCTCAAGTTGGCTATTTTTAAGAAGTAGGTTCATTTCTCCTCCGGATACTGAAAAGAAAACTCTGTTTTTTCCCCTGCCATCTGAAGCGTCTATTCCAACTTGTTCCCACGGATGTTGTTTTGTGGCTGGTGATTTTCTAATAATAAAACAGGACTGGTCTTAATTATCCCAAATAGGAGTACAAAGCAGCTCTCAACAAGCTCAGATGGTTCATCAGCTTTTCAGCCCATCATGACCTTATATTTAAATCCCAAATCAAGATGCAGGAGCTAATATTTTTTTGCTCTTTTATCCAGTACTCATTGAAAACCTTAAATAGTACACTCGTGCCACTCAGCTACAAGTAAAGCAATGGAGACCCTGGCCTGGTGGAGCTTACAATCTAGTGGGAGGGGCACATAAAAAGATGTAAATAAATATATATGTATAGTTAAAATTGTGATAAGTGGTACAAAAGTAACAACCAGCCACCAAGATTAAGAGTAAAGGGATCGACACAGAGCCCAGGCCCCTTTGAAGACATGACCTGAAGAATGAAATCAAGCCATCCACTGGAAGGGCATGGATAGAACATTCTTGGCAGAATGAAGGAAGAAGAAGTGGGAAATGGCAGAAGATGACGTGAGGAGGCAATCAAAGGCTAAACCATGCACAGCCTGGAGGGCCGTTTCACTCGAAGGACAGTGGGACCTATACCAGATACATAGCCTGACAATAGAACAATGATGCTTGAAATTCAGACTCTCAGGGAATCGAGAATCGTGGCCCTTGATCCATTTCTCCTCCAGATAACGAATAAATAAACCCTTGGGATCAATAGTAATGTCGGCCTGTGAAGAAGGAAACTCACAGTGACTTGTGGAGCATCTTCCTTCCACCAGCACTTCTGCTAGGCACTGCCACCGTCACTCTCTCCAGAAGGTCTTATCCCAGTGTTATAGGTGAGGAAGCTGGGGTGTCGGCAGCTCAGAGAAACTGCCCAAGTCTTCCTGCTCATAATGGTCGAGTGGGGAATTTGAACCGAGGCCTGGTTCCAGAGATCCTGCTCTTTCCACAGTACGAGGCCTAGAACGTCTGAGGAAATGGAAAATCACCACTGGATTACCAGGAGCTCATTATCCAGGGCCTGGATTCAGCAAATCCCGGAATTCTCAGCTTCCACGAACTGGTTCTTGTGTTTTGGTCTTTTCACTGTTCCCCAGCCCTCCCTACTGTAAGGGAGAAGTACTTTTGTGTTAGATTTGTGTAATGTTTGTATTTCATGGCATTCTCACCTGTTTGCCATTTTAGTCTCTCAGTGGCAGGACATAGGGAAAAGGCAGAAGGAAATTGACAGCTGTATAGGGCACATGGGTGGCTCAGTTGGTTAAATGTCAGACTCTTCATTTTGGCTCAGGTCATGATCTCAGTGTTGGGAGATCAAGCCCCGCATCAGGCTCTGGCGCCCAGGACAGACTCTGCTTGAGATTCTCTTTCTCCCTCTCCCTTTGCCCCTCCCCCTGCTCACACATGCTCACTCTCATCTCTTAATTCATTAATTTTAAAAATCTTAAAAAAAAAAAAAGAAATCAACCACTGTAGATCACAGCTGTATTTGGGACAAAACATTGTTCCTTTATCCCAGTGAATATGACCCTATTTTAGCATCATAACAACCCTGTGAAGAAAATGTTCTTATTCCTTTTTTACAGATGAAGACACAGAACCTCAGATAACCTTCCTGAGAGCACATGGCTGTAAGGGGTGACTCCAGAGCCTGTGTTTTCTCCCCCCGCCTCTATTTCCCTA